AGAGAGAGAGACAGAGAGAGACACAGAGAGAGAGAGAGACAGAGAGAGAGACAGAGAGAGACACAGAGAGAGAGAGAGAGAGAGAGAGAGAGAGAGAGAGAGACAGAGAGAGACAGAGAGAGGAAAGATCATGATCAAATAAGTTCCTTATTGCTGATCCTTGTTCAGCTATTGAGGTGCCATTTCATCTGTGGTTGTGCTTCTCTGTCAGGCTCATCGTGCGACGTCAGCTCGCAACTCATATCTGTTCGTCCAGAACAGGCGGAGGTAACATCGTTAATCTCCCCGCATCCTGTACAGAATAGGTCACTCATGAAGCTGACTTACTCTGAAATCCTGGAGGCAACTGAGAGTTTTCGCGCCGATTACTTGTTGGGTTCTGGTGGTTCTGGCCATGTCTACAAAGGATTTATTCGTGGACAGGTATGTATTTATTTTATTGTTGCCAAGGATTTTTTGCCATACTTCAACTTCGTCCCATGTGCAGCATTCAAACGAACTGAAGTGAATACAAACCTGGAAGATGGAAATTGGTGGAAAGCTTTACACCGAGCTCATCTATTGAACAATCACACCAGCACACTTTATAAAATTGAAAAAGGTGATGTCCACTTGGGCGCGAGGCTGCACTGAGCAGTCTGTAACAAACGGCATTCAAAACCGTGCAGTATTGCCTATGGCTGCACCCAAACCCTCTTCTTCCGCTGCCAAGATTGGCGCTGCTGCTCCTTCCACTCAAACCATAAAAATCGCAAACTGAAAAATGAATGGACTGTGGTTCTTTCTTTCTTTCTTTCTTTCTTTTTTTTTTTTTTTTTTTTTTTTTTTTTTTTTTTGTAATTTAAACGGGACCTTATGGCTCCGGCTCCTTGTCCATTCTGGGGAGCGTCAGTCCGGTTCCTATTCCACCGGCAAGTCAGAAGGGATTACAATAATTACTCCTCCCCGTTAAGGTGTGGAGGACGGAAGGACGGTGCAAGGAACCTGTCTGTTCGTCACTTGCTGGAGTGTATCAATTAACATGCATGTAACACAATGTCCCACACAAAGTTCAGTGAAAGATGAGTGGAAACCAGGAAGCGCAACTCAATTATCACAACCAGATTAAGGAAAGAGAATCACGAGTTCAAAATGTAAAGCGCCCATCAATATTACAAGTCTTCTTCATCCAGCAAGAGTTTCAGGCCTGGCGCTCATCAGCGCCAGCAGGCAATCATTAAGAACAGCGCTCAGCAGGTAAGTTCCACCATAGCTCACTTCTCTCCCTTCTCTTCTTCTGTTCTCTCTCTCTCTCTCAATGTTCATAGCCCTGGTCTACTCACACTCACCATGCATGCATACTCCCTATCACACGAGGATCTACTCTGAATACTACTCACTGGTCTTCTCTACTAACTATTCCTACCACTATTACTAACTGGCGCTGGCGCAGCTATGGCTGCTCTTCTTCCAGCCAGCGCCTATCTCTTTCTCCCTCCAGTGTAGCTCTCAAGCCTGGCGCAGCTCAATCACATCTGGCGCACAAGTGCCTCAGCACTTCCACACTCTCATGCGAACGAGTATCTTTCAAATGGGAGGCTGGCCAGTCCTTTATAGTGCTGGACTCGTCTGGCGTGGTCTGCATCCAGCCTCCAAGTGCCTGGGACAACCCAGTACCTGTTGTTGCAAAGTGTGTTTTCCAGTATCCTTTCCCATGGTCTGCTGCTGCTTTGGCCGACGGGCCTGTCTTTTGGACTCCTGGTCTGAATCAGATTTGACCGTTGGGACTGTGACTCGTCTGGGACTGTGACCTTTGACTTATTGTCGAACAGACATGACCCTGTCTCAGCCTTAAAATTGAGCCCAGTACCTGTTCGTCTAGGACGTGACTGTGACTTCTCAAAACAACTTCTCATTTCACTCTGGATGCGACATTTGCTTCAGGGAACTTGTCCTTTGGAATGCTGCAGGCCCCTTTTATGTTGGGGTCACATTTAGGGGTCTGAATCGTTAAGGCCCTTTTACTCTCGCAGGCCTAATTTCGAAGTCCTCTGAGAAACACTTATCTGTCTACAATATTAGCACCTCTTCTTGCTCTTTCATAGTAGGACTCTATGTTTGGTGCATATTCCATTAGCTCTTCCCTACTGTACCAGCGGTCTTCACTTGGATCCTGATATGCAAATCTTCTCAAAACGACTTCTCATTTCACTCTGGATGCGACATTTGCTTCAGGGAACTTGTCCTTTGGAATACTGCAGGGCCCATTTTATGTTGGGGTCACATTTAGGGGTCTGAATCGTAAAGGCCTTTTTACTCTCGCCGGCCTAATTTCGAAGTCCTCTGAGAAACACTTATCTGTCTACAATATTAGCACCTCTTCTTGCTCTTTTATAGTAGGACACTATATTTGGTGCAGATTCCATTAGCTCTTCCCTACTGTACCAGCGATCTTCACTTGGATCCTGATATGCAAATCTGACTTTATATTGCCGCTGAGGTCTACCTCTGCGTCCAGTCTGAATAGTACTTTCAGCAATGATTCTATGAACATCAAATTTATCATCCATACTCGGAGGAATTGCTAATCTTTGACTGGGAAATAGTTCGTTAGTCACGCAAGGTAAGAGCTTTGATGCATGGAATACTGGGTATGCATGCAAGTGCGGAGGAATCTCAATAACGCAGGAGGGACCATTTACGTCTCCTATCGCATCCAATACTTGCCAAGGTCCTCTGTAGGCAGGTAACGGCTTCTGGGAAATGTTTTCCTCAGGAATAAATTCTTTGGACTTCACCCACACCGGATCGCCTACAGCAAATTGAGAAGGTCTTCGATGTTTGTTAGCCTGCTCGATCATTTGATGTTGCGCCTTCATTATGTTTTTTTTTACCTTTATCAAGTCATTTTGATACTGCACTGCAAATTCCCTAATTCCTGGCGGAAGTTTATGTACTTGATCCGGATTTAGGCAATCTATAGGTCTGTGGGGAGCCATCCCAAATGCAACTCCACCGGAGTTCGAGAAGCGGATAAGTGCACAAAGTTATTGTAGGCACTGACAACTTTTGGCAAATGTTCATCCCAGTCAATCTGGTCGGGACGAATGTACATATGTAGCGTTTGCTGCAGAATCTTGTTCATTTGCTCAGTTTGCCCGTTCGTTTCAGGATGTCTTCCTGATGACATTGTTAATTTGGAGCCATAGACATTCATCAGTTGCTGTCATTGTTCACTGGTGAACCAAGAGTCTTTGTCACTAACAATAGTAAAGGGATGACCATAGTCCTTTACCCAGTGGCTAAAGAATTCCCGAATCACTAAGTCAGTCCTAGCTTCTGCAGGTAATGCTATGAAGACAACAAACTTACTGAATTTGTCAACAATTACCATGACTTGGCTTTTCTCATTCCTGCTTTTTACCTTAGTGTCCATGAAATCAGTGGACACAGAGTCTCCAGGACCTGCTGGGACAGGCAATAGCTTTAATAAACCAAGGGGAGGCTATGTGGTGCTCGTGTTTCGCCGACACACTTGACAACCTTGCACATACGAAATGCAATCAGGTTTCATTCGAGGCCAGGTGTAGGAACGCAAGAGGTTAGCATAGGTCTTTTTCCACCCGAAATGACCTTCAGTATCATAACATTCCTCCAAGATCACACTTTTTATCTCTTCCCTGTCTGAAATACAAAGCCTATCATGCACATCAGTTCTTTCAAACAACAGTCTTTTAGTTACGCGAAAATCAGGAAACTCTTGTGGCACGTCTTGAATACGTTTTAGTATAGTGTCATAGACAGGAACAGTGGAATATGCATTCTTAATTTTATCTTGAATGTCGGCGCCTATGTCTAAGTACGTTATAATGGCACCGAAAAAATCAGATCTTCGACTCAATGCGGCAACAACAACATTGTACTTACCTTTTACTGGCCTTAGTTCAAAATCATATTGATCGATTTTCGCGGCCCACCTTGTCAATTTAGGGGTCACTCGGGCCTGCGTTTTCAGTCACTGGAGTGTCTCATGATCTGAGTACACTTTGAAGTGGAGACCTACGAGATAATGGCGCCAATGGTCCAAAGCTTCCTGGAGAGCGAACAACTCTCTTTCATAGGTGGAAGCGGCGACCTTCTCATTAGGCAGTCGTCGGGACATAAACTCAACAGGCTTGTATCCATTCCCATCATCCATCCTGTTGGAGTACAGCGCCAATCCCGTACAGACTGGCGTCGGTGGTAACAACAAAGGGCAAAGAAGGATCAACAACTTTTAAAACGGGATAATCAATTAAGCATTTCTTCAGATGCTTAAACGAAGACGTACAGTCTTGGTCCCACTTCCAGATTGTTTCCTTTTTCAACAGTCTGCGAAGGGGAGCAACAATTGTCGTAAAATGTTTCACGAATTTGCGATAGTAGTTAGCCAACCCAAGGAACGACCGTAGTTCCGTCAAAGTGTGTGGATTAGACCAATCTCGAATAGCGGCAATCTTAGCGTCTTCCAGTTTAATTCCTTCTCCGTCTAGAACGTGTCCCAAATACAATATCGGACGCTTTGCCCACTCACACTTCTTGGGGTTCAATTTCAACTTTGTTTTACTCAACTTATTTAGCACGAGTCGGAGGTGCTCACAATGCTCATTTAGACTTTTACTAAAAATCAGGATATCGTCCAAATATATAACCACAAACTTATCAAGCCATTCACAAAAATGTTCATTCATTGTTCGCTGAAAGGTTGCGGGTGCGTTAGTAAGACCAAAGGGCAACACAATGAATTCATAGTGCCCATACCTAGTGCGAAAGACAGTCTTATGTTGGTCTTTTGGTTCTACCTCAATCTGATGGTAGCCAAACTTCAAGTCAATTTTCGTAAAGTACTTGCAACCTTGAACTCTATCCAGTAGATCATGAATTCTGGGTAATGGCTCAACATTTTTAACAGTTATGTCATTTAATCTTCTATACAATACATATGCGTACCCCGCCATCTTTCTTTGGCACAAACAGCACTGGCGCACCATAGGGTGAGGAGCTAGGCCTAATCCATCCCTTTTCCAACAATTCATCTAGCTGGGTTCGCAGTTCATCAAATTCTTTTGGTGACATTCTATAAATTGGGCCCTTGGGAATCTGACTTTCAGGTATAATATCAATGCGATGCGTAATAGGTCGTTCTACCACACCACTCGGGGCCTCTGCCACATCTGAGAATTCTTTCAGAATTTTTTCAATTTCTGGGGACCTTACCTCCTCCTTAACTTCCCCTTCCTTTATCGGGCGCACATATGCCACAAACACCTGATCAACCAGATTATTTTTCTTTATGTGACGGGCGAACGCGGGGGCACCCATGCAACAATGAGCTAAGTTGTTTTCCTTACCAGATTCATGATACAGGCGAATCTTCTTTTTTCCACCTTGCGGGCTAGGGAGCC